TGTAAGCCTTGTCTTTCACATCTGCTTAAAATATGTGTCTTCCCTAGAGTTCAATCCTTGGATGTGTTTCTCCCTCTGTGGCTTCTCTCTGGCGTTTTAACTACTTGTATGTTGACTACAAAATATACTAATAGCTTTTGGCTGAGTTGTATTTTCCTAACCCAGATCTTACTCATGAATTATAGATGCAGATCTCTAGTAAGTACCATGAATACCTATCAGAATATGTATCCTACCATTACCCTCAAACTCAAACATTTCAAAAGGGACCATCTTTTTTGTTAAGGTATTCTTCACCAGCAGTTCTCTTTAGTGGACAGCACTTCCATGTACGTAGGTTCCTCAGACCAGAAGAAATCTGAAAATCATCTCTCCAGTGTGTGCCTGTGGTTTTTAAATCTCCTGAATTTCCCTTTCCTCCCTTTTCCACTTGTCTATTCACTCATTATTTCTTGTCTAGAAACTAAGCCTCTAAACTTGCTTCTTTGCCATGATTTTCATAGTCCCCAAATGGCTCCTTTACCTTGTCACCATAATAAATTTTTTTTTTTCTGAAAAACTAATCCCATGGCTCTTTGCCTAAAATCTTCCAGTGGCTGTTTGAAGTGGAACCCTTAGCATAATGCAGGGTTCTCTATTTAGGTTCTGTTTTGCCAAATCTATAGTTTAACACCCTGTGTTTCTCATGTTATTCTTTATTACAGCCTACTCAAACTCAGGAACCAAATGGCTATCCACCCTCTTAGGAATATAATATACTTGTGAAATAACCTGTAATACTCTCCTATCTTAACATCTTGTTCCCACTGCACTTTAATATGAATATTCTACCACTGCCTCATGAAGGTGGCTATGTTTCAAGACCCAGCCCAAATCATAGCCCTTCAGAGCCACCCCTTAAAAAAATACAATTTTGTATTTGGTGTGCCTGATGAAACCTAGTATAAGCCTTAATTGTAATATCTACTCCACTGAACTGCAAATGTATTCATCTCTACCCTAGCACTGACTGAATCAATATGTATTAAAATGAAGCATTGACTACTGTGAGTTCAACTATATTCAGAATATAATAAGAGAAGTTACAAGAAATATGAAGGAATAAAAATAAACGCTACATCTGTGGATATTTTCAGCTCAGAATTCAGTCACTTGCATTTTATTTCATTCAGTGCTTTGAAATGACAAAGTAGGGAGGATGGGTGCATAAGTCTACCATGGGCAGTCAGTGAAGGACTGCACAATGAGAAAGAGCCAGCTATGCAAAGGATAAGCTGGAATCCGCTCCAGATAAAGAGTAATGACACATTGGTGGGACTATAAATGGGCTGGTGTGGTTGAAGCACAGTGAGCAAGGAGGCCACTGTACAAAATGAAGTAGGAAAGAATGGAAAAGAATAGAATTGTGTAGGTCCCTGTATGCCTTGAATAAGACGATTAAAAAGCTTTAAAATGTGTGTCAGGATGAGAATTATATTCCAAAAAGATGACATGTAGAAAAGTAAAATGAAGTGGAAAAGGTGTGTGTGTGTGTATGTGTAGAGGAGGCATCAGGGAAAAGAAAATTGCAGTAATTCCAGTTAAAGATTATGTTAGCTTTGATGACAATAGCAGAAGGGTAGATAACAAAATTTTTTTTTAAAATAACAAAATATACATTCTACTGTCATGTATAACTAAAAAAAGTGCAAGAGTCAGAGTGAAGAGAAAAATTCAGGAAAGATGGCAATACCATTAACATACAAAGAGTAAGTAAGAAATAAGTTGAACTGGGGATATATATCATTATATCATATATAATGATATATAACTTGGTGAATGAGTGTTCGCCTAACATGGGCTTTCCCTGGGTACAATCCCCAGCATTGAAAAAAATTTTTTTTTCCTAAAGAAGCTGGGAAGTAGAGATAATAAAAATTTCATTTTGGACACATTAAATGTGTAAATCATTTGACATGCAGTTAAGGATAAAGCAGATATCCATGGCTTCAGCCCGTTTAGTGTTTAGTTAAAGAAAATAGATTTGGATATTATCACCATGTAGAGAGAGTCACAGACTAAAGGACATCACCTAAAAACAGCCCCAGGGTGCAAAACATTCACAAGTCGGTAGAAGAGGAAACTGCAAAGTGAATTGACAAGTACCAGTCTAAGAGGACTAAGCCCATGCAAGTGCAATGTCATGGAAGCCAATAGAGAAGACAGTTTCCAGGAGAGATGAGAGACAACAGAGCCAGAAGGTGCAAAGAGCTACACTAAACTGAAAACAGAATATGGCCATTGATCTTTAGAGGTTTATTGGCAACCTTGACCTTGGTAGTGCTAGTAAAGACTGAGTGGGAGACAAGATTATGGAAAATTCCATCAGGTTATACTTAAATAGAAATATAACCTGCCAATTCTTTAAAATCAGTTAAGAGCTATATGCTACCTTTTATCCTAACAGAGTAGGACCAAATCAAATACATTCTTAAGTTTGACTATTCTCCCATACAGCATACTTCTGATATTAAAAAACAAAAATTACTTTTAGATTGAGTAGAATTTATTTTCATGGATTATTAACTCAAAATATGTATGGTTCCAGGAAACTCCCAGTCATCACTCATAGACTATTTCTGCTAAAAAACATTTTATCTTATTACCTCAAGCTACTGAATAACTTAGTAACCTGCTATGCACAACCCTCACCTTTGTTCACGACACCTCCAGTAACATCACAATGTTTCCTAATATACATTTCAAAGAATGCTATTCCTGTAATAAGAAGCAAACAATTCTGTGGTCTCAGGCAACCAAGTCTATGGAATGATGCATTCAATATTCTGCTTCCACCTCACTCACCTGGAATATGCTTGTTAGAGGTGCTAATGAACCCCACACAGAAGAATCTTTAATTTTTATAAAACTAGCATTTCCCAAATTTTCTTCTCTGTGCTTTTAGTTACAGGTAACACCTGTTAATCTTTATAAACAATGATGTACCCAAGCACTTTGGGGAAATGCTTCTCTGGGAGATTTTCCATTTCTAGGGAACTTATTTTATTCCTGAAGATCTTCTGGAACATTTAACGCAGTATAGATATTCCACTTTGCAGAGTGTCCTTCAATTCACCTTTATTATTTTTATAGTTCAATTACAGTCTTCTTAAAATATACTGTTTCCATTACCCAACTAGCCATCTCTTCTTTCCAGAACACACCTGCTGCACTCTTATTCTGACTGCACTGTTATCTTCTCAACATTGCATGAATAGAGATAAAAATATTTGTTGTGAAGTGCCATGCAGATACATTTTTGTAACTGTCAGTGTGGATATAAATTTGTGGTCTTTTTATTACCATTTAAACATATCTTTTTTAAACATATCTTTCCAATGAAAACATTCCCATTATTCTGATCGGAGCATAATAAAATATTGTATATAACACTTTTAAATATTTATCACTACATTGTTTCTAGTTTTACTGCATTTAAAATAGAACCATGACATTTGTGCACCTTTTTTTTTCCCCTTAAGGAAAAAAACCCTCCCTTTTAGCACTTTGACTTTATCCATTTATTGTTATTTCCTTCTTATGAATAATACACATAAGGAGTATGCATATATATGTGTAGCATAAAATAACTCAACAATCCTGCCAAAATCATAGCTATTCTAACCTTTCGTCATGCATGCAACAGAATAATAATAGGTTTTATTTCATATTGCTGTTGTGAAGAAAAGACTAAAAACAGTTCATGACACACTATAGGCACCTTATTATCATCATTCTCTCCAGGGAAAAGCTAAATTCAATTATTTCATCCACCACATTCAATAATCTTCTAGTAACTTTTCAGGGCTTAATTAATCTAAATGAGAGGAAATGGGGAGGAGGGAGAAGAGAAGAAGCAACTCTTATCAATAATTCAAGAGAGGCTCAGGTCCACTTTAGAAATGACCAGAAACAAAGTATGCTAACAAATGTATACCCACACCCAAGGATAAATTTTTGATCCTGGAAATTATATCTCTGATTTTTAAATAGCTACATTAGAGAGCACAGTATAAGAAATGAAAAAGAACTAATTTTAAAAAGAGCAAGAAAACACATAGTGATGGCATCTTTGTGGTTTCAGAATAGGTCCCTAAAAAGTATAGGCAACTGATTGATGTAGACAGAATAGTTTTATTTATTATTATCTTCACTTCATAAAACTAAAATATTCATCTAAATTCCTTTGTCTCCCATATTCTCATAGTCCATTACTCTCTACTTCTTCAAATTTTTAGTCCTTCATAAACTTTGTAGTCAAGAGCAATAATAAGGCTCTCTGAAAACATACTTATAACAACTTTAGTGGTAAGCACCATTAAACCAGATTTAAGTCTATTTTGTCAGATCTCTCTAGTACCTCCTGTTAAAAAGAAGATTAAAAAGAAGATTCTGACCTGCCAGAATAATCCTAGATAAGTTTACATTCTGCAGTAAAAGCAATCTATCTAAGCATCCCCTCTTCGTTTTGAAGCTAAAAGACTCAAGAAAGAAATGGTAATTATACAATGAAAAAAAAAATTGTGGGCTGAGGATGCAGCTCAAGCGGTAACGCACTCACCTGGCATGCGCAGGGCACTGGGTTCAATCCTCAGCACCACATAAAAAAAATAAAGATGTTGTGTCCACCGAAAACTAAAAAATATTAAAAATTCTCTTTTTTTGTGTCAATATACAGGCATTCTTCAGTATCTGAAAGGAATTCTTATAGGACCTTTCCCAGATATCAAAATCCTCTTTTATGCTCAAATCCCTTAAATAAAATGATGTAGCATTTGCATATAAGTCACTTCATCCTCCTGTATACCTTAAATCATCTCTAGATGACTTATAATAACACAACATAAATGCTATGTAAAAAGTTGTTTATAACAACTGTATTGTTTAAGGAATGATGACAAGAAAAAAATCTGAACATGTTCAATTCAAATGAACTAGTTTTTAATATTTCTGATCCACAGTTGGTTGAATCCAAGGATGTAGAAGGTCAACTGTATTTTAAGGCTTTTAATCCTGATCTATAGACACAAAAGACGGTCAAAGTGAGTATTACAAGTTAGAAAGTTGGTTTTAGCCATACAATGTATATAGTACTTTAAAATCTGGGCCCTAGCAAAATCCATTTATTTTCCTAAACATAGTCCTGTAATTAAAAAAAAAAAGTCAATTATTCCCATTATTTGCTTCTGAAGACAGACTGCTTCTTTTCAGTTGTTAGATTAAATAATACATAATTGATCTACTATGAAACTTAATCAGGATTATCTCACTGCCAAAGTTAATTTCTCAAAAGTATAGCCCTAAATATGTTGCTTTTTAATTCAATATATCATAAATCCTAATAATACAAATCTCAGTGGAGATTATAACAAAAAATGGGTTTTTTCAAGTGAGTGGAAGGGAAGCTATAATACTTAAAATAAGCACTAGGAATGTGTACTTACAGCATAAACAAATGTTTACAATGTGGATCTTATCTCAGTTACATCTTTTCTTTATTAATTCATTTTGGTAACACACTGTAAAATTTCCTATCTTGATCCATTAATTTTTATCTGTGGCTTTAAGCAGAGAATGTCTCTTTCCTTAAACGAAATATAGTAGAATAATGGGGATGGGGTTGTGGTTTAGCGGCAGAGAACTCACCTAGCACATGGGACGTGCTGGGTTTGATAGCACCACATAAAAATAAATAAATAAAATAAAGGTATATTAAAAAAAGAAATATAGTAGAATGATATTTTGATGGGGTGACTTCTATTCAAGTCAATGTTCTTCATTTTGTGTCATAAAACTACAACCTAAAAATTTCAGTTTTTAGTATCTTAGCAAGAAGATACTAAATGAAGTGACAATGAAGTATTTATTAATTTATTCAGTTATTTAATATGCAAATGGTATGAAAAAATCTATGTGATCATTTATCAGCAAATCTTTAAAAAAGGGTTAATCAACTGAGAGCTATTATTTCACTGTTCCCCAAAGACCATCAAGTCAAAACATATTACATATTTTTGTGTGAAAAAACTCAAAATAGTGAATACATTAATATATTCCATGTATATATAAGAAAAGTATATGTAAGAAAAGTATGGGATAAAACTTTAAGGCATCTACTAGGGATATTTGTTTCTATTTTTAAATTTTTCAAGAAAAACATTTTCAAAGATTCAGTATTGTGAATTAAGAATACTAAATGTTCAGAGCCTTCATTTGAAAAATGACACACTTTCAAAACTGGAAGAAACTTTGAAGATTATATAATGAATAATGGTCTAAACCATTTCAAAATGAACTGAAACTTTCACCTGAGGGGACATATCTAACTACCAGAAGCACTTGGACCAGAATGCAGGTCTTAACATCTGGTTTAGAGATCTTTGGATTCTTTACTTCTATTGGACTCCATTATCTGAAATAATAGCAATTCTAGTCTTTTAAGGTTGGTTTTGATGGCTGGAAACAGCCAAAGTTCGTTCAAAGCCAAAGACTGAATGAAAATAAGGCAAGTGACTAAGATAATCAATGCAGATTTAAGAAAATTATTAAGAATAGCAAAGGTAGGTTATGAAGTCTTAAATTCTATTTAAGTTAGAAACTCTCAAAGAAATTCCAAGTACTATAAAAAATATTAGAGTAAGTATCACTGAAGTAAATATCAAGAGGATCAGTACTTATTTATACATATAAATTCTGATGATTAAAATCATTCTTATTGTTTTACTTTATTTTATATACAGAACAGCAAAACAGTCAATCAAAGCTATGTTTCAATAATCAAGCAATCTCAGAAAAAAACAAGCTAAACAAGTGAGACAACCAATTAGCCATTTGGCAACTATTTAAAAATATATATCATATTTCCCTTCTTTCATCAGTAGAGAATACAAAATGAAAATGCCCTTTGATGACCTGTATTATTTGGAATCATGCCTTATTTAGTATTTGACTCTCTTCATCTGTAAAGTAGGGATAACAATAAACATCTGCCTCACAAATTTGTAGCAGGAATTAAAGTGACAATACATGTAAAGTAGTAGTACCTTGTAGGTACTCATTAAAGGGTCATTATGGTTATTGCTACTATATGATACCAATTACATTATCAGTTTTTAGTTACTCATGGAGTACCTAACTATATACTTCTAATGGTACTAAGAAATGAAACGAGATGGATTAGGAAGTAACACTGTCAAGTGTATAAATGTAGTGCCAACAGCTTTTCATATACTATCTCTCAACTCCCCAGTATTAGGTTCCCACATTTGAGTGAAAATGCTCTGTAAGGTATGCTACAATCTTGCTCAGAGTTCTTCTCTTCCATCTTAATAACTACAGCTTCAAATTTTTCCCTCTTGTTTTCCATGTTGGATCACTGTTATGACTTCCTACCATTTCAAAGATATACATAGTTACCACCCAAATCTCAGTTCTTGATTTTTTCTACTTTTTTCTTTTGGATAATCTTAATCCTATTTCATTGCTTCAACTGTATTTTTAAAGCATAAAACAAGAAGGTATTTCTATACATTTAGTCCAATCTCTCTGAATACATAAGAAATTTAAAGCGGATCAAGTTTAAGGCCATATAACAAAGCCATGGGGATTTCTCTTGCTGCTGACACTAGCTTCAAATTCTTATCTGTAAATTCAAGAATCAACCTAACACTAGGATATTTAACATAGCTTATCATCAACCCTTTACAAAATACAACCATAAATTTGTCATATATATATTATATATATATATATAATGACAAGTAAAAAATTCCAACAGGACAAACAATGTATTGTTTCCATTTTACCAAATAGTACTCTGTAGTATGGTATACTTGAGAATGTTTTACAATGCATAAGGTTAAGTTGTAGAAATATTATAAAGTTTTTATTTAAAAACAAAAAATAATACTCAACTTTACAAGATCCACAGAAGAAAAACATCCAAAAAACCTTAGTTTCCTCTCCTATAAAATAGGGACAATATTGTAACTTACCTGAAAGAATTCAAAATTATAACAATCATTCTTATTTGGTGAAATTTTATTAAATATTGGTGGAGGTATATGTGAGACAAAGATTAGATTACTCAAGTATAGTTTAATAATTAATTCATTCATTGAGATACTGAATGGCATTCAAAGATAAATGAGATAGTACCTAACTTCAAGAAGCTTATCCTTCATTTCAACAGATTCTTAAAATGATTATGTTCACTTATGCACTCAGAATCCTATTATTAATCCTGATTCTACTGATTTGGAAAATGAGTGATCAATTTAATGTTGTTTAAAAACAACAAGGCAGTTCTGAAAAACGAGTTTACCTCATCAAATGGATCTAAGACATAAATTTACCCATTTTATAAGTTTTCCAAAAAGAAAATTTCCAAGTGTTCAAACTTCAAAGATCAAAACAGGGCTCAAACTCAAAAGCCAAATTTTTAGTCAATACTTAAAATGATATTTCTCTGAGTAGGTTTTTATGTATTTGTTATAGTATTCTTTTAAATAAATACTTCATAAGAAAAGTGAGATTCTAGTTAATCCCACACTGAACCTTCCAAAATATGTAGAAAACACAAAGTGAGAGGAGAGAAGCATATATTACATCATACCGTCCTCATCACCCACTCTTCTAATCAGGTTTCCATGTAGAGTAGAGGGCAGTTTTCTTTTAGTTATAAAACAGGTGGTACACTTTTAATCTCGTACAAAGCTTCCAGAAAAAAAAAAAAACAGAAAATTTGTTTTGATGTTCTTTTCTTTGCTATCAGATTATAGAGGATCAATGGCTTGAAACTGCTATTGTAATTACATGCCTTCTGTTGTCTCATGACTGAGGGTAAAAAGGAGGGTTGTAAGATTCTAAAGTGTACTTTGAATTGGTAGCATACTGCCAACCATCATTTCCCTGCAGTTTACCATGGTAGGCCCAAGGATTAGTGGATTAAGATTAGGTTTTATCAAAGTCTGTACAATTTCTCTAAAGACACAGTAGGTGACAGGGTTTATAAAAGAAGAGAATTATGGTAGTTGTAAACACAGCTTCCCTCCACCAGACTAAAAATGCCATAAAACTAACATCTCTATTATGTTATGAATAATTGTAGAATTTTATTTAGTTGTAGATGAGGCAATATCTTTATTTATTTTTTTATGTGGTGTTGAGGATAGAATCCAGTGCCTCACACATACGAGGTAAGCACTCAACCACTGAGCTACAATCACAGCCCCATATTATTGTAGATTTCCATCTCAAATAGTTATTTAATGCTTTTGTTTTCCTACTATTCATAGAACAGTTTAGAATCAGAATTGGATTCCTACTGTTGAACTGTGTGACCTTAAGCAAGTCACCAATCTGAGTCTCAGTTTTCACTGTATCTTTACACTAGAATTCAATATTCAGTAACTATTACTGCCAACATCTTAAAATAGGAAAAATTCTTGATATTTAAGAATTATATACTAGAATATAAAGGAATAAACTATATACCTCCTCATGGCTTAATGGCCCAGCATTTGAACCCAAATCTAAAACTTTGATGACTTAATATGGCCTACATGTCAACAGAACTCTCCAAAGGCAATTTTAGAATTTCATAAAGCCTTTTTATGTTTCTGAGATTGTGGGTATTTTTTAAAATTGGATAGTATGCACTATGATATAATTCATAGAGCCACATATCCTATGTTGGTATACAAACTAACAATAATGCAATGCCCTGGTGAGAAGGAAGGAAGTGCGGTTTCCTGGCAGAGAACAAATACCATGCTTTTGATATGGTGTTTATTGGGTATACTATAGTATACTTCAGTAAAAATAGGAATGACCATATTAAACAACAGCCTCACAAACAGATTAACTAGCTAGTATTATCCCCAATTTAAGATAAAGAAACTCTAGAAGTTGGAATATACCCAATAATCAAATGGTTAATCTGTGACAGAACTAAGATTTGAGCCCAGGGTTTTATAATCCCAAAGTCAATGGTCTTTCTGACAAACTACATCAGGTTAGCAATCTGAGACAAAAGGTAAAT